TAAATAAATTATTATTAATTTATCTATATTTTTTAATAAATACAATTTGCAAATATTCGAGCCTTGACGGTGGACACATGAGTTTGACTCGTCAAAGCACGCGAGGAAGGGACAACCTATATCGCCTTGTGGAAAGGGGAGAACGTAATTGGCAATTGCCTCGCAACTTGCTTTTGCCTTCTTGGATTCCCATTTACAATGGGGAATTCTCCCCTTTTTTATTTAGAATTAAAAAAAAAAAATTGATCCATACTGTTACATTAAGAGTGTATTAAATTGTATTTTTTATTATTAATTTAAATAAAAAATTATAAAAATAAATTTAATTTTTAATATTAATATAACGTAAAATATTTTAATTCAATCATTAATAAAATAAAAATTAATTTTTTTATATATATTCATAGTAAAAGTACACATTAAATTTATTCTTAATGCATAGGTTAAAAAAATTTTTAAAAATCAATTGTCAGAGCATGCGAGGAAGGGAACAACAACCTGCATTGCATTTGCAGGAAAGGAAATTGCTTTTGCCTTCTTGAATTCCCACTTACAACATGGAATTCTCTTCTTTTTATTTGAATTTTTTTATTTAATTTAATAAATAATTTGGTAACGTTTATATTTTTTATTTTATTTGTTATCTCTAAATATTTTCAGATTTATTTTTTATTTTTTATATTTATTTCAATTTAATCTAATTTATTAATTTTTTAATAACAATTTCACTCTATTTGAACAAATTGATTTTCAACTATATTTTTTTAAATTTTTACTCAATAAAATTAATTTTAAGATAAAATAATTTTATAAGGGTAATAAATTCTTTTTTCATATTTGAAGAACTGTAACATTTATCACTTATTATTTCAACTCTTGTTTTTAATAATTCTCTTTTGTAGTGAAAACTATAATTATTGATATATTTTAATAGTTTACATAGCCCATCATGAATTACTTTACTGGTCAAGACTACTCTATTTTAATTTTAATTTAATTTTTTAGTTATTTTTCTATTAAAACTAATAAAAGTTGAATTTATCTAACATGTGCCATAATTATATTCTTAGGATATATGTTAAAAGTATAATTAATATATCTTTTTAATATTAATTAGTATGAAAAATAATAAAAATTGATATTAATTTTATCACTAATGCTACATGTATCATTTGAATTAGACAATTAATTAATAAATGTTCAGTTTTATTTTTTCAATAATAATTAATACTAAAAAATATTCTTATCTTGTATTCTATGAACAAACATAGGTTAGAAAAACCTACAAAAATTTTGTATATTATATTATTTCGAAATATTTTACAAAATTTATAGATAACTTTAAAAGAAAACTAACTTTTTAAATTAAAATTATTTTAAGTTAATAATTAATAGACCAATCATTAAATTAACCCCTTTTTTAAACAAAAAAGAAAAACCCATAAAGAAAAAGTGTTTTTTTAACTAATATTTTAGGTGAACAAATTAAAAGTGTAATAAATATATTTTTTAACATCATTAACACATAAATAATTTTAATTAATTAATTAATTTAAAATTAACATTTATCATTTTCATATAAATTAATTATAAAAAAATATACTTATTATATTTTTAAATCGTGTTTTAAGAATACAAATTAAAAAAAAAAAAATCCCATTTGCATCCATTCCTATGTCTAATCAAGCACAATGACCCTCGTCTGCCAGGAAAGAGCTCCCCAGGTGAAGATATTTGAAAGATAATTAGAAAGTGTTTCAATAAAGATTAGGAAAGTTGTGAACAATAAAAGCACATTTTAAAAAGTACTAGTTAAAAATTTATTGTATGGGTTTATTTCTCCTTTTTCTTAAAAAAAAATCTACAAAAGTTAAAATTAAACTAACAAATGCAGTTTTTTGAAAAAAATCTAATTTTTCAAGAGGGGTGATTGATTTGTGGATTCTAGAAGGGTAGTGGTTCACATGGCTTCAACTGGATACATGTACAATAGACTTGGCTAGAAGAATCGGAAGTGAAATATCAATTAGCCTGGTTGTTCTAGATGCTTGATGTTTC